GACAAAAATACTATTATAAACTAGGTTAGTGGATAATTCAGCAGCAGAAGTTATTATAGAAAAACGAGTGCACAATAATTTTATAAAATCTAAACATTTAGTGAAATAACATTATTTAGTGGGGAACAAATAAAAGTGAATGTGTATGACTAAATCTGGTAAAATGTTACATTGCTCTTTGTATTGTTGTAAAATACATTAATGAAAAACAAGTAAATATTTATATATAAATAGATACTATAAAATTAAAAGATATAAAATTAAAAGATATTTCTTTTAAATGTAAAGCACAGTAATGGAGGCAGCAACATATGATGGATAGGACAGAACAAGAAAGGCTATTAATAATCTTTCATTGCACAAAAGTATAATGTGAAAGGCTCCAATACAGAGCGTCACAAAGCACTTATGCGCATCCCCTGCGCAGAATGATGCGCTTGAAGCAACACGGAGACACAGCGCGCAGCATAGAAAGCACAAAGAGAAGAGATATTGATGCTTAGTATATTATATTTGTGCGATAGTTTGAGCCTTATCTTTTAACAGTTTTAAATTTCATTTACTGTGCTCTTGGAGAGAGTTTCACCGTCTTGACTGTCGTAACCGAATGCATCACGCAGTTTGAATGCTGAATGTAGGATGACAGACAACCGCAACGGAGAGGAGAAGAATTTAACGACTTAAATACTTATCTGTACCTCACATTAAACAATGGAATGGCTTCAGAACACTTGTAATATAGAGCTTGAAAACTTTATGGTGCTTTATAATGTTTTTTGTGCCTTTCCTGGGGCTTAACAATAACACAGAATAGTATACGCACAATGTCGGATTTGGATTGATCTCGTTCGACCAATACCCAATCCGACAGAAAATGCCAGTATCGGAGCCGATACCGATACTGAGTATCCAGTGCTGATCCTAGACTCCTGGGGGCCCTACGCAAAACTGTATCGGCAGGGGGGTTGGGGTGGTGGAGTGGGGTATGAGTGGTTATGAACGAATTAATGAAATGCATTGGTCCGTGTTTCACTCTCTCAAATCGCGCGCGGTACGCGGTTCGGTACGCTTTCAACTTGTTTTTTTTTTAGTCTCGAGCAAGACTGTAAGACATTCACATTACATGATTTGACTGATTTTTATGTAGAAAGGGCAACAGTGCACCGCATTAAAAGAAAAGACCATTCATGTTTTCATAACCGCTGGCCAAATTCAAAAACAAAACTAAAATTAAATCATCTTTTGTTTCGGGGGCCCTTCGCAGCTTGCGTATTTTGCATATAGGGAGGATTGGCTCTGTGAGTATCGGATCGGTACATCCCTAGTTTATAGTGAACCAAAAGGTGACCCACCTTCTAGGTTTTAATAATGCATTGGGCAGTTCTTTACCAAATTTCAGTGATCTCACTAGTTGATGCAGGCCAATATTTTGCCCCTTCTGAAAACCAGTAACATCATAACCACGGGGATACATCTTCTGACAAGATACATTTTCTAAAAGTTCTAAAGGTTTCCAATTTTTTACAGTGTTTAATTACTTCTGTGGACCACATTGTCTGGTGATAGTTAGCCTAGTGTTTGCGTGTGGATTTGTGAAGGTCTGTTTATCATTCTTATCATTTTCTTTCCTCCACAAAATGCTGTTTGGATACTAAGGGGGAAAAACATACTTACGGAAAAAAAAAATTTCTGATCGGAGAAAAATGTGAAAATATCTTCATTTGTGTTCTGAAGATAACGGAATATTAGGAGGTTGAATAAATGGTTACAGAATTTTCATTTTTGTGTGAATTAACCCTTTAAAACGTTTTTTTGTTAATTGAAAGAACTAATAATGGCATCTGATATGATTACTTGCTATATCTTACCCAATGCATTCACTTTTTTTTTTTTTTTTTTTTTTTTTGGATGTTGGATTTTAGTAGAGCATGTGTTCTGTAACTTGGCAATTGCAACAATTACACATCTTTCCAGGTCATTCTTTCTTCTAAGTTCTGTTTACCCCTCTTTCAATGCAGATGAGAGACCTAAAGAAGTGGGGCTTAAAAAAGACAGAGGTACTTAGCATGAGTTATGGAGTTAGTAGCATAATAAATTAGCTTCAGTAATGCTCAAAAAATAATTTTTAAATCACGATATACTCACCCTCATGTTGTTCCAAAACCTGCATGACGTTTTTTTTTCTGCAGAACACATGATGCATATGTTTCCGTGTATATATACATACAAATTCTGTGTGCGTGTGTGTGTAAGGGACATCAGTTGCATAACGATGAGACTTCATCAGATTAGGGCTGTCGCGGTGAAGGAATTTCCCTTGCAGTAATTTTGAGTGGCTCAATAGCGCGGTATGTGGTATTATCGCCATATATATATATATACAGGGGTGCACATAAGTGGTCCGCATGCGCGACCAAAATAAGAAATGCGCTGTGTAAATGAGTGCACGCGTTTGCGTACCGACATGGGCTGTGTTTCCCAAAATCATCGTAAGCCTAAGTACATCGTAGACCCATTGCCACCTATGGAGCTACGATCAACTTAGGCTTACAATGCTTTTTGGAAACGCAGCCATGGTTGACAGCTGTTAATGCACAATTACCATTTTAGATTGACAAACTGTACTGTATAAGATTTCTATTAGAACTGAAAGCATAAATCTAGGCTAACTAAGGGACATCAGTTGCATAACGATGAGACTTCATCAGATTAGGGCTGTCGCGGTGAAGGAATTTCCCTTGCAGTAATTTTGAGTGGCTCAATAGCCACTGTATTATCAGTATTATGCAGTATTATCGATATATATATATATATATATATATATATACTGTATATACATACATACATATATATGTGTGTATGTTACGATATAACGAGGTCATATTCAGAAACCAATGAAACCGAAACCAAATAGCGTTGAAACAGGAAGTGAAGTAAACAGAAGAGAATGACAAAATAACGATCCACATAACAGAACATAAACCTGACAATAAGATTGTTAGGCTATTGTTAGCCTATATGTATAACAGTTCATTCTGATCCTCGAATCTGACTGGACAAGAGACTTTCTATTGATATTTCCAACTGCGTGTGTTCTAGGTGGGCTGTCAGTCAGTGCAGTTACATTGTTGCACCACAAGGTGGTGGAAAGGGACTGTCTTTGAGTGAGTCTTTAAACCATTCATTCAACTACACTTTCAAAAATGCTGATTCATTCAAAGAGAGACAAAATAAAAAACCCTGAACTTTGAGCGCCATGTTAGAAGGCTCAGCTGACCAATGCGTCGATGCTAAGACAGAGATTTGGCTTTCCTTGGACATGACAACCTATTTTAACAAATATATGACTTGCAAGTAATCACACATGCTCAGTTGATCTCTCTCTCATTCGTTGTCTGTTTAGGCTTAAGTGCAAATCTACGGAGCCTCAGTACAAATCAGCATGGTACACATTGTTATCATTACGAACTTATTTAATATTCAGTACACATGCACGAAGTGTAAAACGAGAAGGGCATAACCCTATGAAAAAAGAAAACACGCAAAAATCGCGGTTGCTGCGGTTCTTGCATTCCAATGAGGTTTGCTCGTCAAAAGCGCGGTATTTCGATATTGCGGTTGTCGCGACAGCCCTACATCAGATGCATGAATGAAAACAATTGTAGTCTTTGTATTTCAAACTATCACTTAATCAATAAATCATTAAAACCGTACAGACTTGAACTAAAATTACTGATAGCTTGCAAGTTTATTCTTAAAATTGACAAATAAACTGAACATCATCAAAAGGAAATCCTAATTCTAAATGAAAGAACTGAATGTGAATTTTCCTTTCTCGTGAATTATAGACAGTAAGACCGTTATTCACACACTCAATCTAATAATATGTGTGTTTGCATGGGACATGGGAATGATGAGCCTTCTGAGATGTGAATTTTTGTCCCACTCATTCTCAGAACATCCTACCAGGGATATTGGGCAAAAGCTGAAAGCAGCTCTGAAGGAACAGCTACGAATTATTCATGAGAAGATTGAAGCCAAAAAGATTGCCAAACTAGCCCTTGCTGAGGTCCGTAGTGTTTTGGCTCAGGAGGAAGAGGAGAGACAAGCTGCTCTTGCTGCCAAAAAAGTCAAAGAAGAGGCAGAAGCTAAGCTTCAAGAGGAACGAATACAAAGAGAACAAGAGGAGAAACTAGCCAAGGAGAAAGCAGAAAAAGAAAAAATGGAGAAAGAGAAAGCAGAAAAGGAAAGACTGGCTAAAGAAAAAGCAGAACATGAAAGACTGGCCAAAGAAAAAGCGGATAAAGAAAGGGCAGAAAAGGAAAAACTTGAAAAAGAAAAGGCAGAAAAAGAAAAAATGGCTAAAGAAAAAGCAGAAAAGGAAAGACTTGAGAAAGAAAAGGCAAGAAAAGAAAGATTGGAGAAAGAGAAAGCAGAGAAAGAAAAACTGGAGAAAGAGAAAGCAGAGAAAGAAAGACTGGCCAAAGAAAAGGTAGAAAAAGAGAGACTCGCTAAAGAAAAGGCAGAAAAAGAAAGACTGGAGAAAGAGAAAGCAGAAAAAGAAAGACTGGCTAAAGAAAAGGCAGAAAAAGAGAGACTCGCTAAAGAAAAGGCAGAAAAAGAGAGACTTGCTAAAGAAAAAGCAGAAAAGGAAAGGCTTGAGAAAGAAAAGGCAAAAAAAGAAAGACTGGCCAAAGAAAAAGCAGAAAAAGAAAGATTGGAGAAAGAGAAAGCAGAAAAAGAAAGACTGGCTAAAGAAAAAGCAGAAAAAGAAAGACTAGCTAAAGAAAAAGCGGAGAAAGAAAGACTGGAGAAAGAGAAAGCAGAGACAGAAAGACTGGCCAAAGAAAAGGCAGAAAAAGAGAGAATTACTAAAGAAAAAGAAAGACTGGAGAAAGAGAAAGCAGAGAAAGAAAGACTGGAGAAAGAGAAAGCAGAAACAGAAAGACTGGCCAAAGAAAAGGCAGAAAAAGAGAGACTTGCTAAAGAAAAAGCGGAAAAAGAAAGACTGGAGAAAGAGAAAGCAGAAAAAGAAAGACTGGCTAAAGAAAAAGCAGAAAAAGAAAGATTGGCTAAAGAAAAAGCGGAGAAAGAAAGACTGGAGAAAGAGAAAGCAGAGAAAGAAAGACTGGAGAAAGAGAAAGCAGAGAAAGAAAGACTGGAGAAAGAGAAAGCAGAGAAAGAAAGACTGGAGAAAGAGAAAGCAGAGAAAGAAAGACTGGAGAAAGAGAAAGCAGAGAAAGAAAGACTGGAGAAAGAGAAAGCAGAGAAAGAAAGACTAGCCAAAGAAAAGGCAGAAAAAGAAAGACTGGCCAAAGAAAAGGCAGAAAAAGAGAGACTTGCTAAAGAAAAAGCGGAAAAAGAAAGACTGGCTAAAGAAAAAGCAGAAAAAGAAAGACTGGCTAAAGAAAAAGCAGAAAAAGAAAGATTGGCTAAAGAAAAAGCGGAGAAAGAAAGACTGGAGAAAGAGAAAGCAGAGACAGAAAGACTGGCCAAAGAAAAGGCAGAAAAAGAGAGAATTACTAAAGAAAAAGAAAGACTGGAGAAAGAGAAAGCAGAGAAAGAAAGACTGGAGAAAGAGAAAGCAGAGAAAGAAAGACTGGCCAAAGAAAAGGTAGAAAAAGAGAGACTCGCTAAAGAAAAGGCAGAAAAAGAAAGACTGGAGAAAGAAAAGGCAGAAAAAGGGAGACTTGCTAAAGAAAAAGCGGAAAAAGAAAGACTTGAGAAAGAAAAGGCAGAAAAAGAGAGAGTTGCTAAAGAAAAAGCAGAAAAAGAACGACTGGAGAAAGAGAAATTGGAAAAAGAGAAAGCGGAAAAAGAAAGACTTGAGAAAGAAAAGGCAGAAAAAGAGAGACTCGCTAAAGAAAAAGCAGAAAAAGAAAGACTGGCCAAAGAAAAAGCAGAAAAAGAAAGACTGGCCAAAGAAAAAGCAGAAAAAGAAAGACTGGCCAAAGAAAAGGCAGAAAAAGAAAGACTGTCCAAAGAAAAAGCAGAAAAAGAGAGACTCAATAAAGAAACAGCAGAAAAAGAGAGACTAAATAAAGAAAAAGCAGAAAAACAAAGACTGGAGAAAGAGAAAGCAGAGAAAGAAAGGCTTAACAAAATAAAAGAGAGTGCACCAAAGGGGCAAATAGAGAAAGATGTAAAGGAGAAAAAAGAAAATGTGAACAATTACAAACAAGAAAAAGAGGCAAATTTAAATAAAAAAACTCATGGACAAAAAGTTGATCAATCAGAAAATGAAAAAGATGAGAAAATATCTACTCGTGGGTTACTTAAATCTTCGAAAAAAAAATCAAGAAATAATAGTAAAATGCCATAACTGTGAGATTTGATTGGAAATAAAAACTCCTAAGGTGTTTACTAGGAACAGCGCTGCAAAGTAAATAACTAAAAGTAGCGTAACTACTAACTGTTTTTAGTGACGGTGGCAGCTGTTCAAAATGGTAGCAAGCTACTTTTTAACTAGTGGTGTAGTAAAACAAAACACTACATTGCTGTTGGTCCCATGGTACAGCTGAGTGAAGGAGGTAATAACCCATTTGTCAACTCACTGTGTTGGGAGGTTTGACTCAGTGAATCAGTTTGCTTGGATGTTTCATGTAAATAAATGCTTTCTGATTTCTTAGATCCAACAAGCCAGTGGTTTTCAACCCTGTTCCTGTGGCCCTCTCCAACCGTTCACATTTTGCATTTCTCCTTAATCAAACCCCCCTGATTCACGTCATCACCTCATTAGTAGAGACACCAAGATCTGAAATGGGACACATTCAAAATGTGCAGTATTGGGGGACTCCAGGACAGAGTCGAAAACCTCTGCAATAAGTGATTTACCTTGCACAGAAGTGAGTTATATAAATTAGTGTGTTTTAATAATTTTACCCTGTGAATATTTTTTAATATTTTATTATACTCCTTTGTTTTCATGCCAGATAAAAAAAACTGCTAGTTGCGGAATTAAATATCAATTGAAACTTATATATTTATAAATGTCATACTCTTAGCTTCAATGTAGTTAGAAGCTTTTTGTTTGTAGCTTGTACTGTTGCTAACTACTTTTTTAAGGATATCTTGACTGTACACTAATTAGGGCTCCTTTACACATGACATTAATCTGTTTTTGAGGATCAAATCACAATTTTGAGGATCAAATAACAATTAAAATCCAGGTGAAGTAAATGCACCCAAGATCTCTCAAACCACAAAAGTTTGGTGGTGGTCTGGTTTAGAGTAGACATTTGACCCCCTTTAATGAACATGTAAATGCATATTCATTTTCCTTGTCTGTTTCCTTGACCAGTATAGAGAGCAGTGAGTCCCAAATGCCCACTCATATTCCCAGAATGTACAATGATCTTCAGACATCTGCAGATATCTTCAGTAAGGAAAAAAAAAACAACCCAGTCACAATCTTCAAAAAAAAAAAAAAATTTATTTTAAAGTACTATACATTAAATTCACTGCAGTTTCCAGCTGAAATAAACGGTAATGGCAGTAAAACGCCAAGAACATTTTTTTTTACGCAAATTATGATTACAGAGGAGTTTTCACGTGGTTCTTTACACAATTCGATTTGGATTCTTTGATTCTTAGAGAACAAGGTGGCCGATGGCAGATTTAACTATACTATAACTTAAATAACTGTAATATAATAACTAAGTTAAGGCGGGCGTACACGGTGCGATTCTGAAGGTCGGAACGTCGTGAGCTCTGGCACATGTCACGATTGAGTTTATCCGCAAATCGTACGGAGGCAGTCACACACGACACGAATTTACTACGATTTTACAAACTTTGACGTAAGCATTACGTTTCGCGCCATTCATAAAAATATGGATTCTGAGGACAAAATAGTTTTCTTTGTGGCAGGCGGCTTGTGACGTCCAAAAAAAAAAAAAAAAGC